AACAATAATTACGTAGAGATGCGAATTATTGTTTAGACCACATATTAAAATTCGGTAAATTAATATAACGTGTAGAGATACCTATATTAATTGCTGCGGTCCTATAGAAATTCTTAGAACTGTTATTTCGTTTAATTTAATTTAATTTCAATAGAGATATGGAATTTAATTAATTAAATAAGCTCAACGAGAACTCGAGAGGGATAAGTTGAATACGATAGAAGAATTCTACCGAACACTATTTTAGTTTTATGAATCTCGATATTAGAAATAAAGGTGACCAATAGATGAATTTGTTCTGCCCTAGCTAATCCCCATTTATTAATTGAATTCTCACTAATTTTCTGTTGCATTCACAAAATTTCTAGTAGTTAGATTTAAAAATCACATATAATCATTTTTTATTTATTTATTTTCATTAAATAGAAGTTAGGAATAATAAATTGAGTACTAAAGTATAGTTCTCGTGGGAAAGATAATCCGGACTCAAAAAATCCACTTTACTACTTGTTACGATCCGTCTACTTGCGGGATAAAATCGACAACATAAGGATTCCATGAAGCACTTAGGAAATCAAATTTTCTAACTCATTCCTATGATGCGAAAGTGCTTTCTGCAAAGTGGTTAAAGGTTAAGTTAATCTTCTAATGATTCCTATATCATGATTAAAGTCAAGTAGAGTAGGGCAAAATACTCTAACTAGGAGGTCACCTATGTAAGTGTGAAGTGGGCCACTTAAATAAGAATTATTCGAGGTTTGAATTCTTTAAACGCTTATGAAATCGAAATGGGTTCAGGGCCAAAATGAACCAAGTCATGAGAAACAAGTACAGAATAAGGAAGACATCTGTGTGAATATCGTTGCCTTAACTTACACCAAATGCTGAATGGTTCAAGACATCACGTTCACCACTTAGCCGAGTAAGTCCGATGGTATTTCACTACGGGAGGTTCAAGGCCAGAAGCTACCATCCCCGATGCAGTAGCTTCCTGCTCTCTCTCTCTCTCTCTCTCTCTCTCTCTCTCTACAATGTATCATATCATAGCATTACATGTGCATACTCGAATCTCCATTCATGTGGGGGATTGTTGGAATTGGTTCAAAAATCAACCGAATTAACCGAGAAAAATTTGGTTAAATATAAAAAGGTGTGACTTCGTGTCAATTTCGACCAAATATTTGAACTTGATCTGATGGTTAAATTACAAAAGTAAATAGACTAACTTATTCTACTACTCGTCGAGTAGATCGTCCTGGTATATTTGGAATCTCGAAACCAATTTCGGATGAATGAGAAATTGCAGTCCAAAGTCGGAAGAAATGAAGTGTTGCAATTTTTCGAAATGTGGTTTTGGCTGAGTGTTGCAACTTTTTGAAATGATGCATGTTTTGACCCATACTACTTCATTTGCACCCTTTCTACATCTATAAATAGGACCCTTTGGACGTGGTTTTGAGTACACCATTGCATTGAGCATCCATTCTTCTCTTGTAATTCATCTTTCTCTCATTCTCATAATATTCCTTTGTAGAGGGAAAATTCTGTTGAAGTTTCGTCGTTCTTGTGGTTTGAAGTGCTGTTGCTACAAGTGTGTATCCGTTGTATCTTGGGAGACATTTGTCATTCAACCATGAGCACCGTAGTAGGGTAATTTGTTTTAAGAAAAAAGTTATACTCGCCTCGGATTTCCTTTTCTACTCCTTATTTCATCTTGGCTTTGTGGTTTTGTACTACACTTCCACTTCATAAAATTGTGGTTTCACTACACTCCAGCAGGTTGAACTTTGCAGTCACAAACAATCATCTTGACCGCTCACAAACAAGCTGGATCCAACAAAACATGCTGTCACAATGGAATTTTCAGTCTCCCACTTGGGATACCCAGGGTCGGTTTCAGCTGGCTTCCTAATGTCTCCAGTAATGTATCCCATGCGGCCTTTACCATGAATGACTAGAAGAACTGATTGGGACCAATCTAAATAATTGGTTCCATTTAATTTGTGTTGGGTAATTTGGAGAGTGGAAGAATCGGCCAAGAAGGTAGGAAAAAGGGAGGAAGTCATTCGTTGAGTAGGCAAGGGTTGTTGGGTTACCTCAGAGGTTCCACCATGAGTAGTGCCTGTAATAACTGTTTTTATCAATTAGGGTTAGAGATAGACGAGTTCCTGCTCTGCTCTGAGACAATCTGGAATTGAAAGATTCTAAAAAGATATATTATTGATTAATTTGATTAATAATGCCTCTATTTAAAGAGGTTTACAGAAGTAACAAACTAAAAAGGATCACTACAAATACTAGAAAATCAGGATATTCACATACAAATTTAAATAACTTAATCTAGATCCTGTCTCCAGAAAATAGGAGATAAGATTACAGAAATGCAGAAATATTGTTCTTCAACAGACCTAAAATGACAAGGGATTACCAGAAACATTTGTTACATGCTGAATCTTTACATGCAATGAACAATTTGATTACATTTGTACTTCTGTTTCAAATTCTCTTTACACTGCAAACAACTTCTAGGATTTTGGACGTAAGAAGTTATGTTTGAGGAGATATTCAGAAGTATAATTAGGTGCTCTCGGTAAAGAGCACATAACTTATCCTGATGTTCAAATTCCAATGTTAATACTTGTATTCTCCTGACCTTGTGATCCTACAGAAGGAAAACACCAATCATTATGGAAATTGCACAAGAAATGAGATTTAGTGCCTGAAACAAATTAATGCATGATGCCTGAAACCCTGACTTAATTAAGGCATCTTCATACAAGCACGTGTAACTACCCTGTGGTTCTGAAACTTGGCGTATTCCCCTCATTGTTTTAGAATAAAGTGATGCCTCCTCCCGAAGAAAGCGTTTTATCAGCAAGATTACAATAGAGATTGAAAGAGAACGTCTAAACAAAATAGCCAAAGGTGAGCTAGGAAGAACTCTCACACTGACCAGAACCACTTATCGGCTTCCAAGAATTTGACTTTTTCTTCTAGACAATGTATCAGATATTTTTAAACTATTAACTATGTTTCAATTACAATGTATGTGACTCTGCATTCTCACACCCATCAACAAGATTAGACTTGGTGAGTATTATGGTTGTTTGTACAATGGCAAAGGAGCCCAGACAGCACCTGGCAACATGGACGTGTGAAAATCGCACCGACAAACAAGCTTGGACAAGGTGAGTTTTATGTTTGTTTTCACAATAAAAAAGGAGTCCACAATATGAATGTGTGAAGATTAGTATCTTTAAATTTGGAAGAAGTGTGAAGCCTATCTTCCCAAAACTCATCAGTTCAGCTTATCTTCACTCCCAAATAGGTAGATGTTTGATTGACATACTTCAGCTTATCTTCACTCCCAATGAACTAAACCCATCAGATGCTTGATGCATATCGACATGTCACTAGGTGAGGGGACATAGAAACACAGCTAACCTCGTTTAATGCTTGTCCGTTTCGTATCTTCCTTAAAACTTTTTGTATTATATTTATCTGCTTTGAACATGCATTTGACAATGTTTGATACATAGGATTACACCTAATGAATACTAAAAAATGTGTCTCGCGTTGATAGTGCAGACCAGCATACCATATTAATATTTATCCAACTTCACTTAATGCTGTTGTCATTCACTTTCGATCGATTAGATTACACTCAACCATATTAAGAAAGAAAAAGAAATTAAAATCTTGTTCATGGTACTCATTGATAGAAAAAGAAACACTTGTCGATATCTAATTTAGACAGAACGTGTTTATATAATAAACACAAAGAAATTATTATATTCCCAACAAGTCTATACGCTTTTCCTATAAAAATAACTTTCATAGACTAATTCACGATATGTGTGTCACACGTCTGAGGCACATTCAGATTATGAAATCTATATAGACACATTCAGATTATGAAATATAATCTAGTCTGAGGCACATTCAGATTATGAAATATAATAAACACAAAGAAATTATTATATTTCCAACAAGTCCATACACTTTGCCTATAAAAATAACTTTCGTGGATTAATTCATGATATGGGTGTAACACGTCTGAGGCACATTCAGATTATGAAATCTAGTCATTTGTTGATTTATTAATAGAAGTACTGAGAAGTAACTTACTATATTACCATCGTCGGATGAATCATTCTAGTAGTAACGACTTGAGGCCTAATATGTTCATCATGATAGGTGATTAAGAAGATCATAAAGGGTGTACAAGATCATGATTTCATTGAAAAGGTTGGATTGAGTGATCTATGAAGGGAGCTGAAGGAAACTGGGAATTTCTTTCTTGTTTTAGCCTAATGGCTGCTAAAGACAAGATTCCAATCTCGAATGTGCCCAAGCATGAGACAAACTAAACTATTCGGGGGTTTTAGACAATCCACAAAATCCACATAGTAATTGAAGAAAATACTAGAAAGTTTGCATTTTTTTTGGTGACTTAGGTGTCCGAGTTTTATCCGACTAATCTTGAGGAGTGGCAGCATTTCAACTGGTTCGCCACCAGAGTAAATTCGGATACGGTCATAGCTTATAGGCCAAACATTCGGGATGCGAATCTCTTTCTTGTGGACCTCCCTTTATGATGTGCGGACAACACCCCAGAGAGACTACAAAGAGCACCATAACTTTATTTTTGTTTGTACAAAGGTGTGACAAGAGTTCTTTTTCAACAGAAGCATTCTTCATTTAATTACCTGAGCAGTTCCAGGTATCGGCCAGAGAAAGTAAAACAGCAGCATTAGTACAGTTTACAACAGAGGAGGATGAAATCTTGGAGGTACGTGAGTTAGAAACCATTGTGAGAACCAAAGAAATGGCCGAGTCGACTTTCTAGTTTTTTACTTTTTACACCTTATCTCGAGGGAAACAGATATTCCTAAACCTGAATGTTGAAATATAAACATCTTAGTCAAAGAGCAACGGTTGGCTACACTACAAGCAATTCCTACAAACTGTGTTTTTATTTTCAACAATGACAGTATAAATCATGACACTACTAACGAACTACTTTCACCATTTTCATGCCCACGAAATTTCTTTTCAAAGCCTGCTACATAATCTTCCATGCATGACTTGTAAGTTTGCATGCCGGGAACCTTTGTGGCCAATTCCAACCCAATATTCATCCACTTCTTTGCCACATCAATTTGTCCCAGCCTTACGGGAAGAGCAGCTCGATTCCATGCTGTCATGGCAAGCCATTTCGCTTCTTCTAGGGGATAGTCTCCTTCCTTCAAACCTACCATAATCCGATATGCTTGCCTATATATTTCGATCACTGAATCATCGTCTATGTCACCTCTATGGATAGTTGCTACAGAAATTAGTTTTCTGAGAATGAGAGCTACACTTTGGTAATCTGGTGAAGGGGATGCAAGCAGGGACGAGAGACAGGTTCGTAGGGTGAAAGTGGCCACTTCAGGGTTGGATCTTGGTCCTTCAGAAGCATCAAAGCCTATCTGAAGTAAATGTTGGGGATTGCAAGATTTTGAGCTTGCTAAGTTTTTAATCAGGATGAGTTGTTGTGCACCCTTGTCACTGAACCTTGAGTACAGATCATAGGCACTCAAAGTGTATATAAGGAAGATATTGGGATCCATGGCTGCAATTTGACCCTCATCTTTTCCACTACTACCTGAGCTTGATATTAATATCTGCATCCAGGCAATGGAAAAGCATTGACAAAGGCACAAAGCCACATGATATTGCGGAAAAAAAATGTAAGTTTGCAATCCTAGTTGAACGTGAGCCGTATCTGTACTAGACAGAATTAGGTTAAATGCTAGAATGCAAAAGAAAAAGAGGAAGAAAACAAAGTAATAAATGAAAAATAAATAAATAAATAAATAAAATAAAATAAAAAATGATCAACACCTTGATGGTTACCTTTCTTGCCCGGTCTAACAGTTCAATGGCTTCCTTGGTTTCAGTTTCCGGCAACGTAGCTTTTCTAAGCCTCTCATCAGCAATGATGGCAGATACAGACATTACTAATGACTTACCAACCATCGTACTATTTTCCTTTGCTTCGCCATCACTGACAATTCCATAAAATTCTGATGCTAATCTAAAGAATTCTGCACATAATTTGTATTTTTTCTCCTTCCCATTTCTAACTCCAAAATTCCATGCATTCACTGCAAACCAATTCCTTTCTCGTCTTCCGACTTCACCTTTCCCAAAAAAGAGTTCAGGTCCAAGTTCAGATAGCCGTTGATAAGCTCTATTCAAGTGCTTGAGGATATCAGAATCGTTACTGGAATCTTGAATTAGAATTGTAACTAAAGTGCGGAAAACTACAACTTCATTGGTTGGCATTGGTTTCCCTGAGGAGTAGAAATTCAAGAGATGGGATAGAGAGGCAGTAGCAGCAGAAAGAGAACTGCAAGCAACAGCTTCATGGGCTGAGAGGGAAAGGAAATCAGGGGTGAAGTCAAGACAACTTGACATTGCTTGCACCTGAGCAATAGCACTGTTGTGGTCCTTCGTTTGCAAGTAGATCTTGAACTATAAGTATCAAGAAACACGTCAGCAGTAAGAAGATCAATACATATGCAGTCCTGTATTCGATTAAGAGCCTATGAGAGAGCTTTTAATAAAAGATTTAACAGATTTTGATAAAAGTTGACGAAATGTGTGGTTGAAAAGTCGATAAAGCTGTGGATCATATGAAATTTGTGGTTAAAATTGAAGTCTGACCAATTAAAAAGTTGACAAAGTTTCATCAAACAAGGTCTAAATATGCAGAAACTGAGCTCAAGCTTACTTTCATTATAGAGATTAAGAACCATACCTTGAGAAAGGCACTGGCAATATTGGGTTCCAGCTGCAGAAATTGAAATCATGAAATATAGTTAATATATGAAGTTGGAAAATTTTTGAAGTTGACGTGAATGAAAACTTACCTGAAGTTATTTCTTAGTTACGTACCTTTTCAGCCTCATTGATATACTCTTCAGCTCTATCTAGCTGGGAGAGGCCAAGGTGACAGAGGCAGAGCACTCTGAATCCCTTCGCCCTGAAAATTCTGTTCTCTATGTTGTGAGGGCCATAAAGAAGAGACTTCTCAAACATCTCAGCACTTATCTGATATTCTTTTGCTCGGAAATGTTCTGCAGCACTGAAAGACGTTGATATAATTATTAGAAGTATTTCTTTTGTAGTAACTGCAAGCCTTATGACCTACTCAATGTTGCCGTTTTCTATCAGATAATGCTATCTTGAAATATGTTAACTAACATGGACGTTATCATTCTGCTTGGCTCGGCATGAAAACCACATGCACATGATGCTTTTGAACATCGTGTTTGCACAAGAACCACACCTTAAAAAGTAATAAACGTGAATGAAGAGCTCAAATGAAGGGTGAGCAAGCTTGTTTAAATACAGAAGGTATGTACTTATAGGGAAGGTAAGTGAAATAGAGAAGGATAAGCAATTCCAATGATCTCAAAATAAGCTGCACATTTAGAACTTTGTGGTTGGTCAACCATTTAAGACAAAAGTTTCAATTCAAGGCTATTCACAGGTCAAGGCTGCATTCACACCCTACTGAAAATGTTCAACCCTGCAAGAGAACTTCTTTACCTGACAATTGTTATTTTAGCAAAATTGTATGATATTTATTGCTCGTGTTGGGATATAGAAATGAACAAAAATGCGATCAAGCAAGATAACTTTTATCCTAATAAGCAATTGCATATCATTTTATGCAATAGAAGTTTAAAAAATTCTTTTATAAAGTCAACCCATACATTCAAATTTCAAACATACTCCTCCTCTGGGAGAAAATATAAAAAAGGCCAATCGGTTATTACTGCGATAGTTTCAACGAGGATATGATCTACTAGTTTACCAGTTCCAAAGAAGAGCATGCATTGTCGTCCTCTCCTTGGCAGCCGCATCTCCACTAAAAAGCTCCACCACCCTCTCGTCAGAAACTAACTCAGTCACGACCTTTGCCCTCACATTCGCACCCTCAGTCCCACCTGGACCATCCCCAACGACCCTATTCACGACCCTGATGGCTACACCAGGGCTAACACGACACCGTCCCAATAGCCCCAAAAACACTCCCTTAACAGTCTCTGCCCCAGCCGTGCCCACAGCCTGGAAATACGACTCCACAGCTGATACCCAAACTCCTTCCGGTATCCCGTTATTGACGACCATGCCCCTCAGCTCCTTCTCCGCTTCCTTGTACCTCCCCATTCCCAACCATGCCTTCATTGCTAACACACTCAAACTGGGATGGTGGTCTGCACCACCAACACCTTCTCTCAAAACCTTCACACACTTCAAAACATTCTCAAATTCATCACTTTGCAAATGTGCCGCTGCCATAAATCTCAAAATCTTCAACCTCAACTCCTTCAAATGTAATGTCTCCTCTGTCTTCTTCACTATTCTTAATCCTTTTTCACATAATTCTAGGGCTTCACACATCAATTTCAATGCTTCATTCAATCCAGAAACCTCGTCATTGGACAACAATATTTTTCCGAACATCAAATACTGATTAGCTAGAGCTTTGTAATTTTCTGAAGTTCCAAACAAAACATTTTTGGATCGATTTAACAATGCGATTGATAAATTCCGGTCAGAAACTTCCCAAGCGGTTCGAGATCGAGCCAGATTGAGATCCAGGAGCAGTTTTCGTTCATCATTATCGGAGATTGAATTAATCTCAACTTTTGAGATAAGATCAGCAGCCTTCTCGAAGCAATTGTTCGCGAAATCAAAATTTTTGAGGTCGTGCCATATAAGACCTGTCTTGTAGAAGAATAAACCGGCTTTAATCGCCGGAGAAGGTATCCCTGCGACATCAGCAGACAGGAAGAGAAAATCGGCGGCGATTTGCCGGAGCTTGGCATGTTCTTCGGAGAGTCTGTGAACTCCGCTAGAATTGGAGGTATAGGCAGCGTTGGAAAGGTCAACACAGGTATTCCAGAGGCGGTAGCTGAGTTTCCAGAGGAGGAGTTTAGTAGAGTTGGGGAAAGGAGAGAGTTGACTCAGCTCAGCAAGGACGAGTCGGAGCTCGGAAGAGAACGAATCTGCCAAGGGAAGTGAAGCAGAGTGTCGTTCGAGGGATTTAATTGAGGCTTCAATTTGGGAGAGAGCATGAGAGTAGTTGGAGGAATCGGCGGCGCTGGCGGTGGAGCTTTGGCGGAAGTCTGGCGTGGAAATTTCGGCGATTCTCATTTCAGTAAGAATATTTATGGCGGGAAATGGTAATAGATGAACTGGAGATTTTGAAAAGGGCGATTCTTATACCTGAAATAAAAATAAATAAATAAATAATTGAAAAACTAATCTTTTAAAGTTTTTCATTTTTTCCCAAAAAAGGCTTTTTTTTTGTGGGGGGTGGGGGTGGGGATTTAAATTAGGATCCGTTTGATTGCAATAATGAAATTAGTGTGGGAAAAAAATGAATTTCGGAGAATCGAATTGCCTAAAACTTGTTTTATTAAGAATTGTCAATTAAATGTGTTTGATTAATATAATTTTCTCCTGAAAAATGTTTAAATTTTCTATTTTTTGGTGCTTGTTTAACTTTGTTTTCATGAAAATTGTCAATTAAAGGAATATAATTTATTACAATTGTTGTTCAAATTGTCAAAAAAAAAAGGTGTAAAACAAATTTTCACCAAAAATCAAAGGATTGGTTTTGCACCAAATCAAGGAAAAAGATCAATTCCAGGAAAAATTCTTGTAATCAAACAAGTTAAAAAGTGAAAAATAAAAAAATATTCCATTTTCCCTGGCTTGTATCAAACAGGCCTTAGTATATCTCTTTTGTATAATCTTTTATCTTGCCCTAATTGTAACTATACGATTATTTGCTCTTCAATTCAAACTGTGGAAACATGTAAAGAAATTGACGATATGACCCCATCCCCGATGAACTGTACATATGACTAAAATATAACACGCTTTTATTGAGAAATTTGATTAAAATGGATAAAAAGAATGGTTTGTACAATTAATATGTAATTAATGATGAAATGTATGAACGTTTTTTACGATAATAATGAAATGTAATGACATTATATGCTAATTATCCTTTTAATAACTTATTTGGGCTTGTTTGCATTTTTTTCAAAAATTTGAAATTATGATTACAATTAGTTCTTTCTTTTTATTTTTGTTTTATTTAAATTGAAAAGTATATTCGTCATTTCTTAGCTTTTAATTGAGAAAATTGATAAAAACTTCCCTTTTTTTTTTTGAAGTATTATTTTGAATTGGCAGGTAGTCATATCACAGAACAATTTATCTTGTTTTCAAATCATGGATATTTCGTAGACTCATAAGAGTATGCATCAAACTAATCGAATATAAGAAGTACTAAGATGAATCCATTGCACCGCACGAAAGAATAACAAAAAATTCCATTCACGGTAAACATACTTTCATTTAATATCAATTTGTACTTCAAATTTATTCGATCAAGTAATTATACAATAATTTAATTTTAATCAGATAACTACACTAAGAAAATGTCAAACGAACATAATGTTTGATACAAAGGATGACACCACACTCACAATCAAGGCGTGGGTCCCGCGCGAATAAAATAATACCGACCTCCCCATGTGTGTGCTATGTCAACCGTTGTGTCAACTCCTATGTTCGTGTAGCACGACCCACTACACTATGATTTGATTTCAATCAAGATAATTTTGTCCAATTTCACCGACATGTATAATATGACAATCGATAAATAGTGCACAGTTTCACCTACAAAAAAGGCAAAACACGACTCTCTTTTCCTTATTATCTGGGACTTCAATAGAAGATTCCCAGATTTCATTGTAAGCATTATCAATTTGGGGGAAAAATGACATTTTTCCTTCAAATAAAGCAAGAAAGAGAGGGATCAATCCGATGGATCAACTCTGCCAATGGGTTCACACTGACAATAGGAGTGGACAAATTTCTTGTCTAATCGATCCAAACATTCAAACGAACCGAATTTGATCGATTTGGAGGAATGTTGGTTTGATTACTTAAATCTCAAGGGTTGGGTTTAAAATATATGTTGAAGGGAAAAATCCCCTTCAACCACCACTCCCACCAAACCGACCAAAATTGACTTGGATTGGTTTAAGTCAATTTATTCATCGTGTCGATGAATTTTGGGTTGGAATTTCACCCAAGCCGAACTGACGATTTGTTTATTCGGTTGAATGGGAATCCAACACAAATTGACCTTTGCTCACCCCTATCTTTCGGGGATAAATAAATTTATATATGTTGATAACTTATTTTTCTTTTATTAAAATGTAAAAGAACTTTTTAAAAATAACTTTACTGGTTCCTATCAAAATAATTATTGAAATGAAAAGTAACGTCACATTAATTAATTAAATTGTGAGGTGCCTGTAATTATCTTGTAACTACCAATCATCCAACAAAAAATTGAAAGATGAATAATCTAGTGGTGCAAATGATAGGAGTGATGTAGTTTCAGCATTGCTAACTGCCGTAGTGTGAGTGTTGATTCCTGAGATATGGAATTGAATTCTTTGTGAACACCAGTGTACAGGCAAACTCTTGTTCCTTGACCTGTTAGGGCACATTCCGTAATTTACCTCCTTCACGATACTCCAGGAACCGGGCGGTGAAAACTCTCAAAGTTGGGATTCAACCTTTTTAAAAAATTGAAAGATGAATTAAACCATGGAAATCAGTGATATAAAGTTCACATAGAGAAATCAGAAAAGTACGTTCTCAATCAGTGATAATAAGTTCTCAAACCAAAACAGTGTGCAATTATAAAGAGGAATCACGTGCTCATCTAGGACCTTCTATATATTTCCAATATTACAGTTCAAGGACAACTTTTTTGGGCATTCGTTCAATCTAGAATCATAAGCATGCTCAATCCTGCAATAACATACAGGGGCGGACCTACTTGGGGCCCAGTGGGGTCGGCCGCCCCAATTGACTTTTAGATTTTCAATTTTTCTCTAGTTATTTTAGGTTTTCAGATTTTTTTTCCCTGATGTTTTTTGGTTTCACCCACTGAAATTCCATCCTTAGTCCGCCCCTAATAACATATATATGTTGTAACTTATATAAGAAATATTAAACATAACATAACATCAAGAATAGTTGAATAAGCTTCTACCATTAATCAGATTAACAGTGCATTAAAAAAATAATTACATATTTTAATTGAAAAAGTGGGGCAAAGGCTATTGTGGAAAAGTGGTTGAATAACCCGGCAATTTACCACCATTTTTTTCCGGGATGATGAGTCTCCGTCAGCTGTAAGGGGAAAATAAAGCAAGCAGCGGAAGGCGCTAAAATGGAAGCCTAAAACCTTAGCTGAAGGGTTGAGAATCTATGCGCACGATTAAATTTGTGGTTGAAAATTTCGAGATTACTTAGTTCCATTTTGTAATCTGAGGACCAACTTGTAGTTCAGTCAAAAGATTGGAGACCAACAATGCAGTTGTTCTTAAATCTTAATTTACTAAAAATAAGAATTTCAGTATATTTTGATAAATATTGATAAAATGAGTTATTGAAAAGTCGATCAAATTTGTTGATTTCATGAAATTTAATTATTGACATAAGCTTTTTACCAATTTTTTTAACTAAATCAAACAGGAGCTAAGCCATCCAACTTGAATTGTCTCGCATCTCACTTAATTTCAATTGATTTTTATTATTTGCCTCTTTTCGTCATCGTCTCAATTTTGTTTGGACAATAAAAATTTCATTCAACCTACTTTTTGAGGTAAATACAATTCCTAATCAAGCATTGAAAGCAAATTTTGAAATATATGCTACCCGAATATCAAATGACAATTTATTTTTAACTTTTGAAACCCTGATTTGATTAGACGTCATATTTGCCTAAGAGGAAAGAGTACTTTTGATATGCAAGTTAAAAAGGAGGCTATTTTTAAGAAAATTATGATTCGGGGCTAATTTTTATTTCCCTATCCAGGTTGGTCCTTCAGAAATTTCCTGTACGGTTGGTTTTGGGCACCTAACCACCCCAAGAGTTAAAAAGAGAAGAACTACGTTGAAATCAAATTAGACGAATCTGTGTGAAAAAATAAGTACTAGGATCTTAACGGTTTAAAATGGCGAAAATAAAACATGTAACGCATGACAAGCATATAATATAACGAAGATGAAATGAAGGAGATGGGGAAGAAAGACTCTTTTAGGTCACATTATATTACATTCTTATTCCTACATTTGTTTGGGGAGGAACCCTACAAAGCCAGCACAACCGTGAGCAAAGCACCAATCAGCAAAGGTTCGGTGGAGTTATAGTCTACTTATCTCAAGTTGCCAAGTACCATTCTATTCAAGCAGTGGCAGCATCCTCTCTTCACTTTCGTCAACTCAATCAGCAGATTGTAAAGGATGTAAGGTCACCAGATCAATTACTTGCACCATTTCCCCATGCGCCGTCCCATTCACTGTTTGGTGCAGCCTTGGGTCCCTCAATGTAGTTTTGGCTTGCATGGGGATTGTGAGGTCCAGGAAGCCCATCCATGCCAGGGAATTGAACGTTCTCGGATTTTGTTTTGATTCCTAATAGTCTCAGCACAAATCTAGCAAGCTCTCCATACAATAACCCGGACCGATCAAACAGCTGCAAACAAAACATTCATGGTAAGCATGTGAAACAGAATAGCAAGTTCCTGAAGACAAAGTTGTAGCTTCTCATTCATCAGATAGTTGGATTTTGGACATGAACGACATATATTAGACGATATAGAATCCAAGAAACTACCTGAAGAAGGGCAGTCATGAACATATGGAACGCCTGTGTATTCTGATCTATCAAGATTGCAACCCGGCCAAAGAAATTTACTACACCGTGCATCTATAAATAATTATAAACAAACATGCTCAAGTGTACCACGGATAAGTGAAGGTTTAAATGAAACTGACATTAAAAAAAATTCAAAAGATAAAAGGAATAAAGCAATTCATCAATGCTCCATCTGAAGACTATCAATCTATATTTTCTTCCTGCAATGAGAAAGGGATCCTGCTAGGAAATTAACAACCCCAATAACCTACAGTATTGGTTCTTAGTGCGAATTATTAACTTTTCTAGTACTCCTCTCCCAGGTTCCCCAAATGAGAGTAGTAAAAAATTTCTAATTTCAGTTGTTTAGCTCAGAAATGTTTCTCAACTATCATCCCCTCTCTTCTTTCCAGTTGCTCATTCGTTTATGCCTTGTATCAGTTTGGTTAGGACCTGGTTAGCCATGCAAGGCAAGGGCCTGCAATCCTCGAACAATATAGAAGCGTTGATAAAAAATGAGGGCTTCAAACAACGAAACTTTTGCTTCTCTGTTAAGCCCAAACAAGCTGACAGATACACATACTGTCTTGGCTTACCACTCGCATTAATGAAATCCAGAAACCTGGTGGAGAAGATGGAGCACCATATGGATTATTCGGATCCTGCTCACCATACGGACCACCCATGCCCATACCATAACCTCCCATAGGGCCTCCGAAGCCACCATTATACATTCCCCCACCATTCATGCCACCTCCATAAAGTCCGCCGTAACCGCCTCTATACATGTTGTTTCCATATAATCCACTGCCATATGACCCTCCAAATCCTCCAGATGCTCCATACATGCCAGACGAACCATACAAGCCAGATGAACCATACATGCCTGTTCCGTAACCAGAATTATAATTCAGGCCAGAACCATAACCTGAATAACATAAACCAAAAGGCAACCTTCCATCAGACATTATTTAAAGATATGCATTTATATAGACATTTTTGTGTTGGTGTGTGTTCTATGCCAAAAGAATTAAACAGGCTAACCAAAACTACATAAACTATGCCATCTCTAAAACTTTCATCATATTCCAAACAGTGTTGGAGGAAAAGGCTGAAAGCTGTGTCAACTTGTGGTTGAAGGGCCTTCCCAGTTTACAAATTGGTATCCGAAGATTGGAACACTCAATTATAAGATGGTATATGCCAATCACACTTAACATTACATGTCTCTCAGTTAATCTGGATAAGAAGGTTGATTTCACCTTTACATGTACTCTCTCTCTCTCTCTCTCTCTCTCTGCCATTTTCAAGGCCAAATTCATCATACTTGTCATAGCATTGCTCAAAATCATATAGACAAATTTGATATGTATACTTGAAAGACGCCTAACTAGCATGCAAAATTCGAGAGCTGCTACGCTGCCACTGTGACTGAGGTATGTAGCCCTTTCTTCAAGGAACATGGGAGGATGCTCTTTCTTTTCTTAGGACCCACTATTCCCCTCCATCGTCAAGAAAATCAAGAACCATCATTTTCCTCTTTTCTATTTATTTTTTCCTCTTTTTCAATTTTTTCCTTTTGAAGGTATTTTGGTACCGTTCTATGTTTTACATGTAGCATGGTCTATGTCATCAATTTTTGACGTGTATATGTCCACATTCATGCCATGTACTCTATTAAATGGAAAACTTGATCCGAGAATTTAAAAGTATACATATTTTTATTAGTATTTGCAAAGTGTAGAGAGAAGGCTAGCGGGTTAGAAGCGCATATATCGTTCAAAAGAAGGCCGTCCTACTCTTATTAACTCCACCCTCTCGAATCTTCCCACTTATTTTTTGTCATTGTTTTCTATTCTTGTTGCGAGTACAAATAGATTAGATAGGATTCAAAAGGAGTTTCTCTGGAGAGAAGAGAAAATTTCATTTTGTTAATTGGGGTGTAGTTTGTTCTCCCATAGCAGTTCTTGGATTGAGGAGTTTTGTATTGTTTAATAAAGCCTTTTTAGGCAAGTGATTGTGGAAATTCGGAGTGGATGGAAACATTTTTGGAGAGAAATTATAAGGGCAAAATATGGTGTCATGGAGGGGGTTGGTGCTCGGTTGAGGTTTGGTTCTTATGGGGTGAGTTTGTGCAGCTATATCTGACAAGGGTGGAGTGATTTTCAGGATAAATTGACTTTTGTGTTGGGGAATGATAATACTATCGGTTTTGAAAATTATTGTTGGTGTAGAGATCAACCGCTAAGAGTGGAATTTCCTTCTTTGTATTGTATTGCTTTGATGCTTTCTGCTATAGTGAATGATGTCTAAATTATACATAACAAGAGTCTCAACTGGAACATTGTTTTTGGGAGGGAATTGGAAATTTGATGATTATGCATTGTTTTTTACCTCTTTGTATGAGATGTACATATAGGTAGGAAAAGGTCATTGTAGTAAGTGGAGGTTGGCAGGGATGGTATTTTTCTTTTCGCACGTATTTTAGATCGTCATTAGAACTTGTGGATAGTTCGTTCTCCTGAAAGATGGTATAGTAATGTAAGTTGCCTCCACATATGGCATTTTTACTATGGATGGTTGTGAGGGGGTAGGTGTTAATGATAGATAATATTCGAATGAGAGGTTTTTATATTGTCGAGTGATGTTATATGGGTAAGAGGGATGGGGAGACAATTGACTGCTATGATGCACCGACAAATACGTGTCGGATATGCTGACACGTAATTTCTCAAAAAGATACCGACCCGACACGTCGTCAATACGTTGATTAAATTCTTTAAAATTTTTCATTTATATAGTATAAATTTAATTTTATACTAGATATTAATTTTTTTTTGTTCAAATCTTTTAAGTATGAGTACCTATTTGTTATTTAATAATAAATTTAAGTTAAAAATATATAATATTTTTAATAAAAAAGAAAAATGCTTATGATAAGTATCCAAAAAGTGTCAGTATCGACATGTATCCGACACGTGTTGGATATGGATATGCTACTCCAGTTGAAGTGTCCGTACTACAGAGATTGACTACTTGTTCCTTCATTGTGAACAATATTTTGATTTCTCAACACATGGATTGGGCGTTGTTTAGGCGTATGGAAGATGTGTTAATGGCATGGTGGAGAAAGTTTCTTGATAAGGATAGCAAGCTTGTTTGGAAACTTATTCCGAACTGCATTGTATGGTGTGAGAGAGAAAGAAACCGTCGTTATTTTGAAGATCAAACAAGGAAAATAGAGCAAATTAGAAAATTGTTTTATCTAACATTATATATTTGGTTTAATACTGCGGTTACTAATCATATAGAATTGCTGCCTAATTTCATGTTTTTTCTTGTTTAAATTGATAATACACTTCCTGTGAATTATTTTTTGATTAATAAAATATTTGATTACCTATCAAAAAATTTAGCTCGAACAACTCAAAGATTTACTCTTTCATTCTCAAGTCGGGAGCTCTAAATATTAACCCAAGAATTTAATAACTCAAATGATACAGTTGGTGACTAAGCACATACAAGTAAAATATAATTCATATAAAAAGTGCTTAAATTACAAATTGATAGACATCTGGGAATGTTTCTTGAAGATGAATGACTTTACGTGATTTGTACAAGTTTAGAATGTGTTTTTATGAGTTCTATGGCAAGTAGCTTTTATATGCCATAAAAGATCAGAAGCCTTTCTTTGCTTGGATACTATGATATTAATTGTTTTCGTTACTGTTTCTATCAATTTTTTATAGTACACCACCTCATACACAGATATGTCTTTTATATTTTGAAAGAGATCCAAAGTATTTTCCCAATGTTTTCAAAAATGGGGAAACAGAAACATATTTTGTTCCTTAGTTTTTTTCTTTGTATCTATTTGTGTTGGGGGAGAGGGATTTGAAATTCCAAAAAATCATATGTATACAAAATTCAGCCGAGAGACCTACATTACAGTGAAAAATAAATTCATGCATAATTTTACAACTTCAAAAGTATCCATCTATTGCATATATAACTGTGGATACCTCCATAACTGCTGCCATAAGTCTGCTGTTCCCATGGCCTAGTAGGAACAGGCCTCCCAACTGTGCTTCTGTTTACAATGGTATTCCTATCACCTGTTGAAACAACTTCACCGGGTTTTGCAGTTCCAGAAGCCTCCACTGCATCACTCGTGCTACCACCAGAAGGCGGTTTAAAAGGTGCAGCACCAGAAGAGGGCCCAGCTCTTTCCCATGGTTTCTGGGGAGGGCTACCACCTACCATAATAGATACCAATAATTAATAGATGGTTAACGAAAGGAAAATTTACATATGGAGTATGATAATTCAACACATCAAACCACCTCTTGATGAGGTCAATGATTTTCCCATCTGCACTCAAATGCATTAAAGACATGATCAAACATGCCTAGAACAAAAGTGAGTTTACAGACAAACAGATATCATCATGAAACATTCATGCCTTCTCCATTGGCAAAACTAAGAGAAGTCAGTCAATGAATCTTTGTGGCTTTTCTTCCCCAAAAATTCTCTATACATGTTCCTATGAAGAAAAAATGAAAAAAATGCATTCTGTCACGTGGCTGTTTTGACTATCCTATGTTTTTTCCACTTTCAGATATATACCTTCCGCTAATAAAAATGAGAAGGTGATTATCTGCATTCTAACTAAACATTTAATTTTGGGAGGTGTAAGCCCTTGAAAACACAGAGATTTATTCAAAGTTCAGATTTAATTCTTTAAGAGTTTTACATTTGGGATAAGATCCACTCATTGAGCAGCATGAGAAACATATGGAACAGTTTGATAGATGTTGGAGCACTTCACGCAGATGTTGATTGTACAAGTCCTACGGGAGTACAGAACATTGGAAAGCAGCTGCAAGAGACAGGAATCAGGGAAACTTCTTCTCTATACCTTTACTAGCTAAAAGGGGTCCAATTATGATCAGCACCAACAATCCAATCAATTATATATCCTCTTACTTGAAATGGCGAAGTTGGATTTTCCATAGCACGATGACAAGGACAATTGAACAAATTGGATTTCTTCCAAATGTGGTGCTATTCAATACATGTAGCACTAATAATTTTATATGCTCCCAAATGAGAAAGACTGGAGTAGTTATATGCTTTACAAATAGACGAATTTACCAGATGCCTGTTAGCATATTTTTGCAAATGATAGCGTCAACAAAGCAACCTCTAGGAGGTGACAATTTAACCCAACCAATTCAAAAGATGTTAGCCAATTTTAATGATGTACTGAGGAAATGCATGGGATTAGTACCCATGAGAAAGAAAGATACCACAGTCCCTCACAGCCTAGGGATGGACCAGCCAACCAATTATAGTGAGACCTTATTCACATCCTCACTTCTGAAAGAGGATATTGATTATTGAGAGCCTGTTAAGATAGGTTGGCTTCAGTAATGATTAAATCAAACATAAGCCTTTATCCACCCCTAGTGTTATTCATATAAAAACAAGACGGGTCATGGTGGACATGCATCAAATTATAAACCTTAAACGATATTAAAGTGACAATAAATTTCTTCTAAGGACTGGCGTTCTCACAGATTCTCTACCCATGCGCCAAAGGACTGGCGCTATTTAAGATGTCGCACTTGCTCAAGGCCTAAATAGAAGTTAGAAATGTTGTCTTGGACCAAATACTGTTATAACAGTAGTTGGCAGTCAATGGTAAAATGACAGTATTTGAAATTGTGCATGGAAGGTTTCCTCCAAGATTGTTATGAATTCCTAGAAATGCACAAGTGAAAGATGTTGTTGCAACATCATAGGCATGTTACAGCAGCAGTATGAGGAAACTCAAAGCCTCCGGATGGATGTTGTAAGCCATTTCAGTTCATAGAGAGGATGGGTCAGGCATACAAGTTGAAATTCATCCAGTTATTCACATTCCACCACTGAAAAAGAAGAATGATATCATCATCAGAAGCAAACTAATGTCCTTGAGTTGAATGTAAATGATGACCTAGTTCCAATACCCAAGTTCTACTTGATCAAAGAATGGTTAAGCACTGTTTTAGTTCTTGGGATTTTTTCCATTATCTTAATTTTGAATTTCCTTAAAGTTGTAGAATGCTTTAATTGTCTAAATAAGTTGAATTAAAAATGTCTAGTCATTGATGTACAACTCAAGAGTCACGTGTAATTATAAATTGAAGCCACATAGATGAGGCAGATTTGAGGATTAATAAATAAGTGACGTGTAAAGTGTGGATAACTGTCTAAATCATTTATAAATAAAACTTGTGATGGATAAAAACAAGATACTGAATATCAGCATTCAAGCTGACATTTGAATTTGGGAGGTTTTATACCCTCGAAGAGCCAGATCTTTGCAACTTTCGCAACTAAATCTTTAAAGACTTGCAGATGATATAATTCTCTTACACTGAAAAATGACATTCCAGTAAAACTTGACCATTGGTGTGCCATTATGTACCAAGGAACCCAAAATAGCAAGAAATTCATCATTTACCCAAAGTGTACCAAGCTGAAGAAGGAGATCGGATATTTCCAAAAGCCTTGCGATCAAACTAACTATCAATTTTTCCCAAAATCATATATCACAAACCCTACTTACAGCCGTAGGTACAGATTAACTAATAATGAAAATGATAAAGGAATTAAACGAACCACGATACTGATTAATAGAAACAAATACATATGCAAATTGAATTTCATCTGTACCGACCTGATGATTGCTGGGCTTTGTTGTCCATGGCAGAGGAGGAGGAGAGAGAGAGGTGGCAATTCCAAATTGTAGTTTATCTCTCTTGAAACGCCCAAGAAAATCCGCTTGTATTTTGAGGGTGTTTGATTCCATTTTTTCTAAAAGACTCCTTTCTCATTTTTTTTCTAAACAACATATCCTTCAATAAAATATATTATACAAGAATTAAAAAAATTCTTTTTTTTAATCATATATTCTTCCTCAATCTACTATTCTAAAATATAATTTTTAAAAAAGAAAGGTGCTCAAACACACCCTTTATTTTTATTTTGTACTGCAATTGATTACGATACTTATGTCATCAACTATTATGTATTACACCATGCTACATGTACAATCGAAATTGACAACCACACCTATAGGAGGGATAAAAAATCGTGAACCCCCTTCTGAGTAGATTATCAACCCTAAATGTACAACTAGTAAAACTAAAATTTCTCTAAATCGAAGCATTCATGTTCTTAGCTAATCAAGATGTATACTTTAACATTAAATGATCACTTCACACTCGTAAAGTGTCAAGATGAATTGATACAATGAAATGTATTTTACCAAGAATGAGAAATTTTATCCTAATCAAAATTTAAAATAAAAAATGAAGTCATCCTTTGATTTATTTTGAAGTAAGAGAAATCATTATTAGATAATTTTATTATTTCAATCTAGCATCACATAAATGTCTTGTTGCCGTTTAATGTTCAAATGAATATTTTTCCATTAGCTGACAATATTGGTGCCACAATTTTCAATAGTTGAAGACATGGATATAACAAATGGTAGATTGGAGGACATGAATACCACACTTCGAAATTGTTGGGGAGAATTATAATGCGATTATAATGAAAAGTGAAAACGAGGAGTAACGAATTCCATTAAATATATGTGGATAATTGTAAAATGTGTAATTAGAATTAATGTTTGCCTTTGATTTCAAATTATAGTTCAACTATAATTTTATCTAATCAAACACTAAATAAAGGTTTGTATGCTTGTTGAACTATACTGTTTTCTTATTTAGAAGCCCTTGTTTGATCTCAATTTTTCAAAAACTCATATATAATCACACATTTTCTCAGTAAAATAATTTTACACGTAAATATAAAAAAATTATTTAGTCCTTATTTGTCTATCATTATTCAATGAAAATGAGTTTTGGAATAGTATGTTTAAAAAAAATGTGTGGTTAAAGGGTATAAAAAAAAATTGAATTTATGTGCAAAATATTTTATTACGAGAACCTGTGATTGGAAAATGAATTTGAGAAAAAAAAAGTTTTGAAATAATCATAGACAAACATAGTCTTATTTTTAATCATGCATTCTTATTAAAAAAAATCACTATTATAAAATATATTCTTCGAAAAAATGAAGCTCAAACAAGTGAACAACATCATTTTCCGATGAACTCCTCGCCTGGGATGACCGAAGGATATTCTAATTCAAGCTCTGAAGCAAGGCAAATTCTTTTCTCTAGCTCCCAATCATGTCTTCCTGAATAAAGATTCATTCAGTCTTTTTGTAGTTTGGAATAAAAAGTTCCGCTCAAAAGTAAGAGTCCGTTTAATTGCAAGAATATAATTTTGATGGAAAGAAAACAAATTTCAGAGAATTGAATTGGTTTAAACTTGTTTTATTAGGAATTGTCAATTAAATGTGTTTGATTAGTATAATTTTTCACCTAAAAAATATTGAAATTTTGGATCTTTTAAGGTATGTTTGATTACATTTATTTTCCATGAAAAATATCAGTTTTCCATCCAAATATCTAATTTTTCTTGTTTTTAAGGGAACAATTTTCTTTGTGTAGAGGTGGTTTTTATTTTTTACAAAAAATGAAAAATATTTTCTTTTTTGGTAATATTTTTTATACCAATCAAACACACTCTTAGTGTTCATTTGATTATGTTTTCTATGAAAATTTTGAATTAAAGGGATAAAATTTGTTATAATTGGGGATAGAATTTATTTCAATTATAAAAAAAAAAAAAAAAAGGGAAAATCATATATAATCCACCACGAAAAAATTTCTGATGATTTACCAATGGTTTGGAGCGTCACTATTGATAAAATTCGTGACAGTTCGCAACAGTATTTTACGCCACAAAAAAAATTATCACTTTTTAATTAATATTTGCAACATTATTTTGTGATGCGTTATTGCTGTCATAAAAATCATAATTGCAACGGGAACGTTGCTATTGCAAATGCTAAACAAAGAAATTAGAAATCACTGATACACTTTTTGCTATTTATGCTAAAAGTTCATTACCAAAAATGTAATTCATTTTCCATTTTTGATAAAAATAATAATAAATCAATAATTAGTATTCACCTTTTTCTATGGTACCTGAGCAAAGAAACTCCGTCAAAATTTATTGAAAAATCGAACAAAAATATATTAATAAATAAGTCAAATCAAAGAAAATAACGCCCGTTTGATTGTGTAAAATTTTTCATTGAAAATGAAAAATCAAATCCATTTTTCATCTTTGCCCTGCTTGATACCTTTTTTTTTTCCAGAGAGTCCATATTCTAGCTTGTCTTGGGAAGAAGCAAATTCCAGCTTTTCAAGGATGGTGAGAATTCCAATTCCGGTTTACTGACAATTTTTTATTTATTTTTCTTTTTTTTTCAATGAAAACTAATTGTAAGAATTATTGTAAAAGAAAATATTTTCATTTACTTGACAATTTTTATGTAAAACAAAGCCAAACGAGCACTAAAAGATAAATGATTTTCTAGATTTTTTTATTTTTTATTTTTTTGGCTATAGAAACAAATTTCATTTCCAATATCAGTAAATTTCATCCATTTAATTGATAATTTTTATGTAAAATAAAGCCAAACGAACATCAAAAAATATTTTTATTTCAACATTTTTCACGTAAAAAATTATACCAATCAAAAACAGTAATTTACAGTCCCAGAAAAATAATTTCTAGACAATTCAATTCCCTAAAATTCGTTTCCAATTCAACTCAATTTTTGTAATCAAACGAACTCTAATAATATTTTTACAAATTATCATTACATTCCGTCGCGAGGTCAAAAAAAGGTCTATTACATAAACCAGATCGAACAAGGCACTGATAGTGCCATTTAACATTAAGTACGTAAATTTAATCCATCATGAAATCTACGAAGGCCACAAAATAAACCACTGTCAATCTTCTTATTTGTCAATTTCAGGCCGAAAAACCTGAAAATAGACAATTACATCAATGAAGACAACAATAAATAAACATTAACGACAGAATGAAATCATCGAGAGTTTAAGTACCAGTAGGAAAACGAGTTAAAGTCGGTGTTTTGTTTAATGAGCACCTCTAACAATGTTCTAAATTATACTAAAATTATAATTTAGATTTTCAAAGTAGTCAAAAATTACTAAAATTGTGATATGTAAAAGAAATGCAAAGTGCACTTTTTGATAATAATAAAAAAAAAAAGAGTAAATTTATATCTATTTAGATCTACCAATAGGATTCACAAGAGGCAAAAAATTACCAATCCACTCGCACTCAATTATTTTAGATTTTTCAGTTAGAGCAGAATTTGAATTTATATTCATTAGACCATAAATGAGGATTCAAAAGTGAATTTAGAAATGTCAATTTGCACCACCATTTGATATGCTCTTATGGAATAAAAAAATTAATATCGTTAATTACAAAGTAGGTTCGAATTGATAGCATTGTTAGTGGCCGGTTAAAATAGGCGAGATGAGAAACATATCTCGAAGTTCAGATGCGGATTTGGGAAACAATTGTGCGA